TGGTCGGGTGGGAAGCACTCTGAGCACAACTCCCGCTTGACCACAGGTCTCGTCGCTGCCTTGAGCATAGGGCAACCGGCTGAGGCGTGGACCATGGCGCGCGCTGAGGAGTCCACGTGGAACATGGCGTCGGCCTTAAAGCCCAGCTCTGGCACGAGCATTCCTGTAGGTCCAGTCTGCGCTTCCTTTTCTGAACGGCGCGCCGACCCTGGCCCCGCGCCGACCAGCCCGCGAGGGGCCCGATCAGAACGCGCGTCCCTGACCAGATCAGGAAGAAATGGAAGTGGCCGTCCATGAGGCGAGCCCTCGCTAAAATGACTCGTAGAGCTTCCCTAAGAGCGTTCACGGCGAAGCTAGAAGAGTGATTCCGGCGTGCTGCGGGGCTAGTTGGCAAAAACGTCTCGACGGACGTTCTGCATAATTTTGCTGGGTTTAAATGCGATTTCTCGAAATTCAACAGGTCGTTAGAGCTCTCGTATTTTGTCTCCTCATATTCGATCTCATTCCCGCTCGTCATCTTCATCTCAGGTCGATCGGGTACCTATTACTCCCAAAAAGTACTCAGGCGGGATCGGCTGTTCAGTATCATCTTGACAGGTGCTGCCGGTTTTCTCAACTTAATTCGAGCTGTAGATAAGCTGCAGAGCTGGCATGCACACTTCATCCATCTAGAATCATCAGGCGCGTTCGTCTCAGGTATCTAGATGTCTGAACTCGGCCTGCAACCAGAACTGGGCCCGCACAACTATTCGTACTCAGCTAATTTTCTTGGAGATGTTGATGAGTTTCTTCAGATAACTCGAGCTGCAGATGAGCCACAGAGCTGTTTGGTTGGCACAGCAATCGAAAGATAATCATCAGGCGCGCGAGTCTAAAGTCTAAAGTATCTAGATGCCCGAACTCGGCCTGCTATCGGAGCGCAGTCCGAAAAACTACTCACACTCTGCAGTTGTATTGCAGATAGTAGTGATAGTTTTTGGACGGGCAACAGAGCTGTTCGTCAGAGCAATTGGAAGAACATCATCAGAAGCGCTTGTCTCGAATATCTAGATACCCGAACCGGGTCTGCTACCAGAGCTGGGTCCGAACAACTATTTGTAGTATGTTTTTAAAGCCATGTTCATGGTTTTCTTGACTGAGCTCTCTGAAGATGGGCTACTGAGCTGGTAGGCGCACCTATTCCATGTAGAATCGTCAGGCACGCTTGTCTGAACTATCTAGATGTCAGAATTCGGTCTGCTACCAGAGCTGGGTCCGCGAAACTATTCGAACTCTGCCATTTTTTTCGAAATGCTGATGAGCTGCTTGACTTAACTCGAGCTGCAGATGAGCTACAGACCTGTTTGGCATAGCAGCCGAAAGAACTTATCATACGCGCTAGTCTAAAGTAGCTAGATGCCTAAACTCGGTCGGCTACCAGAGTCCAAACAACTATTGGTACTCCTGCTATTCTTCAGAGATGGTGATGCTTTTTTTCGACTGAACTGGAGCTAGAGATGAGCTGCATAGCTGTTCGTCACAGCAGTCCAAAGAAAATGATCAGAAGCGCTATATTAAAGTTTCTAGACACCCGAACTCGGTCTGCTACCAGAGGTCGGTATGACAAACTATTTACACTACTAACTTTGTAAAGGGTAGATGGTAACTTCTTGAGATAACTCGAGCTGCAGATGAGCTACAGAGCTGTTTGGCGCAGCAATCGGAAGGAATTGATCAGACGCGTTAGTGTCAAGTATCTAGATGCCCGAATTCGTCACGCTTCCAGATTGGAAACCAGAAAACTATTCGTACACTGCTAATTTTTCAGAGATGACAATGCCTTTCTTGACCCTTCCCCTCCTTCTGCTCCTTATGTTCCTTCTCCTCCTCCTCCTCCTCCTTCTCTTGCTCACCCCTCCATATGTTTGTTCCTCCTTTCTTCTATTCTTCCAGTCCTCCTCTATGAAATCGCACCCTCGCGCGCGCGGAATGCGAGATTGCCGCGCCCGCATTGTACGAGGAAGCTCTACGAGTTCCCGGCGGTAGCCAAGGCTGACGGTTTACCGCCGGCTCCCAGTGCTCTGCTCCCTGATGGCAGATTGCGAGCCCTGAAATCACGCAATCACGCCCTGAGAAGCGCTCGGGGCGCGCTGAGCCAGAACGGGGATGGAGGAGGAGGGAGAAGGTAGAACAACTCCGAAGAGGAGAGGACCTCTGAAGGAGGGTCCCATGGGGGACTTCTGATGGAGTGAACCCATGGGGGACCTCTGATGGAGTTCTTGAGAGGCCCTGTGGAGGAGGACCCAATGGGGAAGATGCGCCTTGAAAGGCCGAGAGCCCGAGGATGGGGCCAAAAGTGCAACCTGAGGAGGCCCGAAGTGCCTTCGAAGGATTTCCAATGTTAAGGTTCAATCAATTTACGATGGCTCGATACGATGCGCGCAGGACTAGAGTAGTGCGGACTAGAACGGCACACTCCGGGTAGAAGTATAACAGAGCAGGATTAACATGTAATAAAATACGATGCACTATACTCGAATAGTGACCTGACAAAGCAGAAAAACCTAGAACTGAGCATCGCATATTAAAACCTAATTTGTTATGATATATCAAACATCAGAGAGGGAGGGCTGAACCGAACGGTCATTCACTGTCCCTGGGTGCGTGGCTCCAGCGGAATTCCGTGATGCGGATTATTGGTGTTGTTGAACATTATTACTTCTAAAGAATAATTATTGTTGGGACCCCTGGTGCACGACCCCCCCGCCGCGCCTAGGCCGCAGCCACGTTTTCATCATTTTCGTAGGAAGTCTCAGGCAAAACGGGTTGGTCGGGATCCGGTTGTGTTGTTACGATCGGTTTTCCCTTGCAAAAAATAAGCTAAAGTGGACATTTCTTGTTCTAACATATCCAAACTTCAAGAATCCCTTGCAAAAGATAAGGTAAAGTGGACATTCGCGCGCGCAAGACGAAATCCTTCCAAAACCTTAGTTTTCGTAGCGATTTTAACATAAAAACATCAAAAAACCAATGGTTTTTCAAAAAAAAATGTCAAAATTTCATCCCGCGCGCTCTTGCGGATTCGTAGGAAACCCAACACTTTTTAAACATTTCTGTCAAACGGGCTTTTGCGAGCAACTTTTTCGAACTTCTGCAACAACGGTTGCGCACCTGCCAGGGCCATCATCCCTGTCAAATAATACCATGCGGGACACATTCGTTTTTTCTTCGCGCGCGCACGCCGTCGTCGTCGGCCGCGGGGCCCTGAATAGTAGCCACGGTCGTCCGCATGCCACGAAGTGAAGTGTCCGAACGTCATAGGGCGGGAAGCTGGGTGTGGGTGGTGGCGAAGAGTCGTTTGGAAATTTGGTAGAGCTTGAACCGGCCCCCCCACAAAGTGGGGGTATTGCCCGCCTCCTATGAAAACCCTGGCACTGGTGAGAACGGAGTGTCCCCACGTGCTAGTAAGCGTTGTTGTTGTTGATGTTGTTGTTGTTGTCGTCGTCGTCGTCGTTTTCGTCGTCGTCGTTGTTGGTGTTGGTGTTGTTGTTGTTGTTGGTGTTGTTGTTGTTGGTGTTGTTGTTGTTGTTGTTGTTGTTGTGTTTGTTGTTGTTGCTGTTGCTGTTGCTGTTGTTGTTGTTGTTGCTGTTGTTGTTGCTGTTGCTGTTGTTGTTGATGTTGTTGTTGTTGTTGTTGTTGTTGTCGTCGTCGTCCCACCCGCGACCCGCCCCGCGACCCACCCGCGACCCGCCCCCGCCCGCGGCCCACCCGCGACCCACCCCGCGACCCGACCCGCGACCCACCCCGCGACCCACCCGCGACCCACCCCGCGACCCACCCGCGACCCACCCCGCGACCCGCCGGCGACCCGCCCCGAGACCCCCCCGGCGACCCATCCACGACCCACCCGCTACCCACCCGCGACCCACCCGCTACCCACCCCGCGACCCACCCGCGACCCACCCGCGACCCACCGCGACCCACCCGCGACCCACCCGCGACCCACCCCGCGACCCACCCAAAATTTTCGGCGCCCGCGGCGGGCTTCTTTTGCATTCGTTCCAGGTCGTTCCAGGTGGAGAACTTGCGACCCACCCGCGACCCAAACCGCGTCCAATGTACAAATCAAAATTTTCGGCGCCTGCGGCGGGCTGTTTTTGAATTCCTCCCAGGTGGAGGTGGAAAGCCCGCGACCCACCCGCGACCCAAACTACGTTCACTGAACAAGCCAAAACTTCAGCGCCGGCGGCGGGGTTCTTTTGCATCGGCGACCCACCTGCGACCCACCCCGAGACCCACCCGCGACGCACCCACCCGCGACCCACCCGCGACCCACCGCGACCCACCCGCGACCAACCCGCGACCCACCCCGCGACCCACCCAAAATTTGTGGCGCCCCTGTGGCAGGCTTTTTTTGCATTTGTTCCAGACTTTTTTTGCATTCGTGATGGGCACGAGGTCCGCCGGCTCGACGCCCGCGTCGCCCGCGCCCGCCCCCTCACTCTTATCCGCAATTGCGGGGTGCTACGTAAGACTGATAATATGAGAGGGGTTAGATGGATTTCCATAGCATGGTGACAAGCAAGACATAATATATTAGAAGAGTTCACAATCTACGAAAACATGAATATCTCGTTTACCTAAGCTGTCTGGTAGGTCTAATCGGGTGAGCCGTCTGAGGTTGAGTTGTCTGGTAGGGTGGGCTGTTTGGTGGGGTAGCTAAGCTGTCTGGTAGGTATGGTAGGGCGAACTGCCTGAGGGTGAGCTGTCTGGCAGGGTGCAGGGCAACTCAATGCCTCATCTGTCTGGCAAAGTCGGCGGATGACGATGATCATTGTTTCTGCCTGGCGCTGGCGGGCTCCCCATGAGGGAGCGCTGCAAGTCCGCTGGAACTGCGCTGCCCTCAAGCGCGAGCCCGCTGAGCGACCTCGACGAACACGGGATCCCAGAACTGAGTGTCATCATCTTAACGTACCTGCCATGCCGTCTTGAACACTGGCGCGTCTGAATCGGGGTCGTACCTCTCTGAAGTGCTCGTCCACGACCTCTTGAGTGTCCCGCGCCGCCCCCTCGGCCTGAGCGGCCAAGCTCCGCGCCTCAGCCGCCGCGGTCTGCAGCGCCTCGACGAGGCCCCTGAGGGCGCGCGTGTCCAAGTCGACGTCGACGGCTATGGCCCGAGCGCCCTCGCGCGCCTGGAAGGCCGCGAGCTGCTCGCCGAGCTCGTTCATGCTGACCTAGAGGACTGGATGAGGCGGTTCGAGCACAGGATTGGACCACCTTCGGAAGCACCTCTGTCGGATCCCTGACGGGGGGAGCCACTGCGGACCGGGAGCCTCGCTTATAAATTGAGCGCTTTTGAGCCCTCTTGAGCCAGAGCGGATACGGAGGCGGAGGAAGAAAAACTGTCTGGCCCGAGGATGGGGCCGAAAGGGCAACCTGAGGAGACCCGAAAACATTCCGAGAAGCCCAGGGGGGGAGATGCGCCTTGACGGCCGAAAGCCCGAGGAGGGAGACACCACGTCCCCGGCTCTTGCTCACCCTCAGCACCCTGGTCTTAAGCCCCCTAAGCCCATCCTCATCCCCCCAGGCTCACCCTCAGGGTGCCGGAATAACGCGACCAGGGGGCCGGGGGCGTTCTCGTTTTGCCGGAAGGGGGGGCTCTTCAAAGCCGGATGCGGTTGAAGGGTAAGGAGGTCCCGAACGAGCCGCGGGGCCCACCTTTGTGATTGACCTCGGGGTGCGATAGGGACGCTTCATGCACAGGGAACATGGTTGGGAAAGTAGTTGAAAAAGGAGGAGGAGGAGGAAGAGGAGGAGGAGGAGGACGAGGAGGACGAGGAGGAGGAGGAGGAGGAGGAGGAGGAGGAGGAGGAGGAGGAGGGGGAGGGGGAGGGGGGAGGGCAAGCTAGGTGCGCTCGCGTCATATCTGACGTCCTACCCCTCCCTCCCATCCCTTACCATGGCGCTGATTTTCTCTATCCGCGGACGCGTGTCGTAGCGGACCTGTGGCTCCGCGCGCGCGTGCGTAGTGGTTGTGGTGCGCGTGCGCGTGCGTGCGTGCGTGCGTGTGTGCGTGGTTGTGGTGGTGGTGCTGGTGCTGGTGGTGCTGGTGCTGGTGCTGGTGTGGTGCTGGTGCTGGTGCTGGTGTGGTGCTGGTGCGGTGCTGGTGGGTGGTGGTGGTGGTGGTGGTGGTTGTGGTGGTGGTGGTGATGGTGTGGTGGTGGTGCGGCGCGGTGGTGCGGGCGGATGGGCGCGCGAGAAAAATGCCCCGCGCTGGGGCGAGAACGCCATCCTGAACGACGGAGGCCAAACACCGATCCGAAAATGAGGCCCACGCTGCAGCGGGAGCACGATTCGGAACGATTCGGGAGCAGAAATGAGGCCGGCGCCTCAGCGAGAGCAGCATTTTGAAAAAAAACGCAGGCGAAAACCCGTTTCCCGGGAATCCTGTGTGTAAAAAAACAGTACGCGGGGGGGGTCGGATATCTTCGGGACGCCATCAGGGGAAGTGGGAGAGTATTTTCATATTGTGCAATTGTGGAGGAGGGGGGGGGGGGAGGAGGGGGAGGGGGGAGGGGGAGGGGGAGGGGAGGGGGAGGGGGAGGAGGAGGCGGAGGAGGAGGAGGAGGAGGAGGAGGAGGAGGAGGAGGAAGAGGAGGAAAAGCGGTTGGAGGAGAGGGCGAGGAGGAGGAGGAGGAGGAGGAGCAGCAGCAGCAGCAGCAGCAGCAGCAGCAGTTGGAGAGGAGGCAGAAGAAGGAGAGGGGCAGGCTCGTCACCGACTCTTGTATGCTCGGCCCGGCGCCCAGCGGCGCCCGGGGTTCGTCCGGCACGGACGCGGCCCCTGGGCAGGAGGACTTCCCTCCCTGCCGCCGCCAGCTTGCCGCCGCCGCCGCCGCCCTTCCCACGCTGGATGCGCGTCTCCACCTCGCAGATGAAAACAATTGTTTGGCCACGCGCAGAGGTCGCCATGGGGGAAGAGGGTCCTGAGGGAAACTGGTCCTGAGGTTTTGTTGCTGTTTTCGGGTTTCTGGGGCCCTCCACGGGCCCCAGGACTGTCAGAAAACTACTAAAGCTTGTCTTTGTGGAATGGCAGGCCCTGGGGTTCCAAACTCGTTTTCCTTAGGACCCGCTTCCCCATGCTGGACAGGGGGTGGAGGGAGGGGGAGGGCTTCTTAGACGCAGCCCTGGTTCTTGGGAGGCGCGGGCTCTTTCATAGAAGCAAGGCCCGTGCCTCCTAAGAATCAGCATCCTTCTAGGAAGCCTTCCCCCATCCCCCTAATCCTTGGGCCCTCCCTCATCATTGTGTTCCTGGCATCGCTCGGATGTGTGCATTGTGTTTCGGCGAGGCCAGCGCCAGAAATTCTGAGCCATCTGGAGCATCTTGAAGCATCTTGAAAAGAAAGCGCGCACGGAAACAACCAATACACCGGGAATGGACGTCCGACCGCTGACAAGTTTTAAAGTGTCTGGTCCCAAGCATACTCTCGGGATCAATCCTCTCTCGTGGCCGGCGCCAGCCCATCGAAACGGAGCGGCGCTTTCGGGCAGTGTTTTTTTGTTGCCCTCCTTTCGCTGCTCCTGCTCGCGCGTGCTGTCAGGAGGGAAGGCCATGGAAATTTTAATTCAGGCAAGTCTGAAGAGGCGGCGTGGTCGCCGAAAGCGCACCCAGGGAGCGCCTGTAAGAACGAGTTATCCACATCACAGGCTTGATATCGTCATGTATTGTAGTGTGCGCATACTCCAGCGTGTCCCCGGTTCCGTTCGTTTCGGTTCGGGGGACATTGGTTCGGTTCAATACGGTTCCGGTTTCGGAGTTGTTTGAGGCGGTTCCCATTCAGAGGGCGGTTCCGTTTCAGCCGGTTCCATTTTCGGTTTTTGCTGATGACGTGTGCGCGTGTGCGTCTACATGATCATATGGAGGCGTTTGGAGGTTCAGTTCAACCAGGAGTCAGGAGGAAAGGCAAGGGCGCCGCCCGCGCCCTCACCGGGGGCGCGCAGGATGGTGGGGGCCCAGCCCCGGCCGCCGTCCCCAGTTCGGCCCTAGAGGCCCCGAGGACCCCTGGAAGCCCAAAGCGCATGTTCGAACCGTCCAAAAATGCGATTTGAGCCTTTTCCGCCGCCATGCCGTCCCCAGTGCAGTCCTAGAGAATCCGAAAACCACCTGGAGGCCCAACACGTATTTTCGAACCGTCCAAACATGCGCTTTGAGCTGTTCCGCCGCCTTGCCATCTCCAAAGCAGCCTTGGAGACTCCGAGAACCACTTCGAGGGTCACAGCGCATTCTCGAACCGTCCAGAAATCCGATTTGAGTTTCTCCGCCGCCCTGCCATCCCCAGAGCAGCCTTGGAGGCTCCGAGAACCACCTGGACGCCCAAAGCGCATTTTCGAACCGTCCAAAAATCCGATTTGAGCTTTTCCGCCGCCCTGCCATCGCCAGAGCAGCCTTGGAGGCCCCGAAAACCACTTGGAGGGTCACATCGCATTCTCGAACCGTCCAGAAATCCGATTTGAGTTTTTCCGCCGCCCTTCCGTCCCCAGCGCAGCCCTGGAGGCTCCGAAAACCACCTGGAGGCCCAAAGCGCATTTTTGAACCGTCCAAACACGCGATTTGAGCTTTTCCGCCGCCCAGCCATCCCCAGAGCAGCCTTGGAAGTGCCGAAAACCACCTGGAGGCCCAAAACTCATATTCGAATCGTCCAAAAATGCGATTTGAGTTTTTCCGCCGCCCTTCCGTCCCCAGTTCGGCCCTGGACAAGCAGCAAAACAGGACGAGGGAACTCGGGGGCGCAGGGGAGGAGTTGGGAGCGCCTCGGGATGGACCTAGCGCAAGAGTGGGCGCTGACATCGGGCAGTTCCCAAGGGTCCACCTCCACGACCGGTTCCCAGTTCGGTTCCCGGTTCGGGCCTTGTTCGGTTCCACCGCCTCCAGTTCGGTTTGGTTTCGGTTCGGCTCGGGTTTCTGACGGGTTCCGGTTCCGTCGGTCATCCTTCGGTCGGTTCGGTTCTGTGGTTCGCGGTTTGGTTCTGTGGTTCAGTGATATTCGGGCGATCGCGAGTTGATTTGCTACAGTTCTCAAAACGTTTTTTTCTTTGTCGGCCGCAACTGTTTCTCGCTCAAGTCTTTTTGTGGGCGGCGACGCCTGAGGTGAATGATTTTGACCGTCACCACCACCCTCAGGATATTTGGATGTCCTATAGGATTTCATGGGGGTCCTATATGATTCCATCGATTCCATAGGGCTCCTATAGGATACTTGCGGAGGATGAGGCTACACTACTACTACTACTACTACTACTACTATTACTACCACTACCACTACCACTACCACAACGACTACCACTACGACTACTACTATTACTATGTTTACCACTACTACCACTACTACTACTACTACTACTACTACTACTACTATTACTACTACTACTACTACTACTACTACGATTACTACTACTACTACGATTACTACTACTACGACTACTACTACTACTACTACTACTTCTACTACTACTACGACCACCACAACTACTACTACTACTACCACCACTATAATTACCATTATGACGACTACTACTACTACTATTACTACTACTACTACTACTGCTACTACTACTACTACTACTACGACTGCTACTACGACTACTATTACTATTACTATTCTTACTACTACTACTACTACTACTACTACTACTACTACTACTAGTACTACTATTACTGCTACTACTACTACTACTACTACTACGACTACTACTACTACTACCACTACTACTACTACTACTACTACTACTACTGCTACTACTGGTAATACTAGTGTAGGGGTTCTCGTGCTACCAGTACTACTAGAACTACTACCACTACTACTACCACTACTACTACTACTACTACTATTACTACTACTACTACTACTACTACTACCACCACTACTACTACTACTACTACGACGACGACGACTACTACCACTACTTTTAGTATTACTACTACTCCGACCAGTCCTACTACTCCTACTACTCTTACTCCAACTACTAGCACTACTACGACGACGACGACGACAACGACGACGACTTCTACTACTACTACTACTACTACTACTATCACTGCTATTGCTTCTAACACAGGCGTGCACGCTTTGTATAGGATCCCATACAGGACGTGTAGGCTCTGTATAAGATCCCTTCACAGGCCGTGGATGCTCTGTATTGGATCACTCCACAGGGCGTGCAGGCTGGGTACAGGATT